AAGAAATTGTTTAGAGGGTGACTCAAATTTCTTTCTATTCATTGGAATCATTATATATATATATATATTCTAGGAGAATAAACAAAAAAAAGGAAAGACATTTATTCTAATTAATTATAATAATCATATCCCACGTATTTCCAACTGTAGCGCCCTCGAATTGCTGCCCATGAATTGTTGATGTGGCCTCCCCTTGGCTCCGTGATTCAACAGTAAGAATTTGAAGAAGCTTGCTGGATCATGCACATTCTATGCATCTAGAATAAATAGCAATGAACTTGGCTTGATCTTGAAGGGTCCTAAGGGAATGGTTCCTAACTTTGCCATCTGACTCAAATGCGAGGAAGCTAGCAACCTTGCCCAATGCAAAGCTCTTTTGGTAGGTCTTTAATCGGTAAACATAATTAGTGTAAGGAGATTAATTACATGCATCAACTCACAACTGTTTGCCATTATAATCCTAATAGTTTGAGGTACAGTAACCAGCTTTGGATTGGTATCTGAAGGAAGTTCAAGTGGAAATTGCCAACACATGACATAAGCTGTAAATAATCTCAAAAGTAGAGGCTCTGGATCGTAGCCGTCGATCTACGCCGTTGGCGATGGTACACGTGTCGAAATCTGATGTTCCCATCATTTGGGAATCTACATGCAACTATAATCTATGTGCTATCCATCCCATCGACACAAGAACCAAATGTGATGTATAATGACCAACTAGATTTCGGGTATTCTTCAATCTTGAATTTCAATACACTAAGAGCATTCCCAAAAGTGCTACGATGCAAAATTGTTTGGTATTTCATCTCAGTTGTAGCATTGTTAAAAAATCTTTCTTTGAAATCAGCTGATGGTGCTTGCAATCGACAAAAGAAAATGAAGTACTCAAAGAGAAAAATAGTGGAGAATGCGGAGCCCATTTGACAAATTTCTATTAAGAAATTGTTAAGGAAAATATATTTTTGGCAAACTATGAAATAAGATGTATAAGATCTCACTAAAAGGGGCGGTGTGATGAGGACATCGGAGATCAACAGCTACGATCTTGAGTTATTTATTTATATGTTTATGTACTAGTTTATTTTATATTGTTATTTTTCCCTTTATACCCTTACGGCTGGTCATGTAGCCGAAGGGTATTTTAGTCTTTTATTTCTTCTCTTCATTTATAGGCTAGTTGTTTTGTATTATGGGATGATGAATATGAGAAAAATTTCAGCTTGTGCTTATGGATCTCTTTGTGAGTTCTAAGTTCTCTCTTTGGATGATCTATTAGTGAGTTCGTGAGAGGAGAGGCCCAAGTGGGGCAAAAGCAATGCCAGTCAATCTTGGTGGATTCCAAGGTTCGCGGTTCTCTTATCTTTCTTTTTTTTTTTTTCTATTTTTCCTTGCATCAAATTCCCTCCCCAATTTCCCCACCCGCCGGCCTCATTTCCTCCAAAGCCTTTCTTTGTAATTTCCCCTAACTCGAGCCCCTCCCCTTTCCGCCGGCCTCCTTGGGCCGCCCAAGCCGCCAGTTACCCCCACCCAACCTCCGCCAGTTACCCCCACAACTGTTGTTCCAAGATTTCAGCAGTTTTCTAGTGCTGATTCGCCATCCGGAAGGCTCTCATTGGTTGCCCAGAAGATCCCACACGGCTGTCCACACGCAGGACTTCTTCAAGTTCAACCACCGGACTCCGGATCTTCTCCCTCGCCCTCAAATCATATCTAAGAATTTAACGATGGTGAACTCTTCCCCAAATCTCCTATCTTCCTAGTCGCTCTCAATTATGGTTTAGTTGATTCACATAGATAATGTTAATTCTCATCCGCTATAACCTAGTGAATTAGATAATTGAGGGAGTGGATTCTTATGATAACTAAACTCATTGTTAGTTTAGGGATCATCGTTGAAAACCAATCATGTATGCATCATTAGATTAAATTGAATGTTTTTACGATCTTAAATCCTTTGTATGTGATTTAGCCTAAGCTCGTTTTACCGCTCTTAGTGTTTTTTTTTTTTTGTCGTTAGAAAATTCATTGTGAAGATATGATTATTGTGGCTTCTAACACTTAAGCGTGCAAACTCTTCAAGTAATTCAACTTTACATGATCGTTCCACATCACGGTGTATGTCAAATTCTCTCATTAACTGAGTTAATAACATCATTTGATATGAGTTCATGGCCGTTCATAATATGGGCAATAGATTTCATCGATCATATTCTCATGATTCTCAGAAAATGGGTATTCCTACCGATCCTAATGGTTTGATGCTATTCTGCCTTCTGAAGAAACTATTGACGCAATGAAGAGGTTCTTGTGGGTTTAGATCTTTAGTTGGTTAAACCTTCCATTGGTGATAATCGTAAATGGTCTTCAATTTTAAAAGAAAGTCAATAAACTTTTGCTTCATGAATGAAATTAACCTAAGATTTAGTTCAATTATCCATCCATAGACATAGGGATCGGCGGATGCCATCAACAACATTATCATGACTATTATAAGGAAAAAGCTTGAAGGTAGAAGAAGACCTTGGGCGTATGAATTACTATCATTGCTATGGGCATATTAATGACCCTATTAATAGTCATAGGTGAAAGCTATTTCTCATTAGCCTTTGTGTGGATCTCAAACTCGTGGATTTTTGTAGTCTACATGCTCGAGCAGAGAAGGCTACTACAATTTTATCCAATTGGATGGATAGCCAATATCAAGATGCATAGGAGATCTGTGATACTTTGTACTTGTTGGAAGAATAAAGGTAGAACACAACAAATAATATTGCTAAGTAAAAACTATGCGTGGTTTGTTTCCTTGGTGCAAGAGTCAAGCTAATCTCACCCTCAAGAAACTCAAAACCCCCTAGTATGATTGGAAGGAGTTGGATTTGCATAATCGGGAGGTTCTATGCATTGCCAAAAGGGATCAAAGTTGTGGGCCATCACATGATACAAACCAATAAAGGAATTGAAGTTCTTTTGACATGGAATGTGAAGAATTGAAATTTTGTATTGCTCATGTATTTACAAATCATTTTTTATTTTTCTAATAATATTCTAATTTATGGATGTCCAAATTCATTAGCTAGCCTTAAGAAAGGTAAGCCAAGTGGAGTGGAGCCCTAGTCAATTGAACGAACATTGAAAAATAACAATAACCGATCCATAAAACAATATATTCTCTCTTTCATTTTCTCTTTGGTTATACCTTATAGTTGTTACAGTAAAGGCTAACAAATAAATTTGTCCCCCAAATAAAAATTTCTATCATTTAACAAAATATTTTCTTACAATTTTGATGCTAAGTGTGGCCAAATGTTAATTTTATAAAGGTAAGCTTAATACCCTTGACACTTGCTTAAGGGTCAAAAAGCCCAAGGATAGCTAAAAATGCAACGACATTATGGGCTCCGAAAATTCATGCACGGCCTCTCCGCGACCCCATTCTTTTTGTGTGTCGACGAGATGAGTTTTAACGAGTTTAGGTTTTGAGTTAAATTTTCAGTAGGAAGATTATGTTTTAGATTAAGACATTACCTAGAGATTTCACCCTCATTTTATGAGGACTTTATGATCTGAGTTCCTATAGGTGCAACTAGAGTTATTACCCCTCTTGATAACTAGAGAGAACTTTCGATTAAGGCTAATCGTCAAATAGATACATAGTATTCGACATATGATAGTAGCAGAATTTGATATTTGAAAATCGAAATTTATCACCGCGCACTTAAAGCAGATGATGGGGGGAATGATGATGAACCCTATCAAGATCTCATGGTTCCGTCGTCTCGAGTCATTATGTTCCCTAGTCTACTTAGTCAGAGGAGGTATTCGACCCAACCTGATCGAAGGATTCTTGTTGTCAATTATGGGTTACTTCGTCCAAAAATACCTTGTAGACTTGGGGTGAATATTTTCCTTAGGGGATAGAATTGAGCCCACCTTAACTAACAAAGGGCTTTGTGCCCTATTTTATGGGTACCATTTAAAGTCGTCATGGAACATACGGGCTCTGTCCATGACCAAATTTTATGGGTACCATTTGACGACAAAACCACACGGTCAGAGGGTCTCGATCATAACCGTTTACTTGTGATGCCATTTTGGCGGCGAAACCACCGATTAGAGGACACATGCTACGTTCTTACTAGCAAGAGATGATTTGAAAATGAATCATAGTGATATTTTATACTATACATTTGCTCTTTGTGAGCTGAAGTGTTTTAAAGCTTGTTTATTTTGGCAAACTGTTGTGCAGTGGATGTATATTTTGCTTTAAGTGTTAGATGATTAATTTCAGTTTTTGAATATATGTAGAGTTTTGAAGTTTTTGCTGTAATTTAAAGGTTAATCCCTCATGTTGATATTTCACATTCAACATGGCTATCATCGGGGTGACTTTATTGTCACTTTAAATGTTTATATTTCATGAGAATTTGGGATTGTTCCATTCATATTTTTAGCAGGATTGTTCCACTTATATTTTTTTTACTATAAAGTTCCCCGCAATGGCGCATGGATATATTCTGTTAAATTTTTAACTATAATAACCACTGAATTCCAATATTTACCATCAATATGTTGTGATGTTAGGAAAAAAAAGAATGTTGTGATGTTAGGGAAAAAAAAATGTTGTGATGTTAGAAGGAGGACCTGCTTTTTACCCACTACTGACATATGTGATTTGATGATAAGAATTTACAGGCATAGGGCCTTGCTACGAATTGTGCAACTTTAGGTAACTAGATTTAACTTACCCATAAGATAATTTATGAACAAAATAGCTATAATCTTTATGCAACTAAAAAACAAAAGCTCATATGCAATAATGCGAAGACATGGCTATCTATACATGTAATATAATATACATGCATTTCCTGCTTGCAGTAAATTGAGGTGTGGCATAACATTTCTTTTATTAGATAAAATTCCAATTTAAAGTAAATTTTAAAATTTCAATATTATGATGCTTATTCATTAAAGCGTATGAATTTATTGAGTTCCTCATTCAGAACCAGTAATCTCAACATCAGATGCTGTAGATCCGGTTAAGTATTTTTCCTTGCTAGAACAATCTGGTGTGGTAAGGATTTTTCTTTGCTAGTCCTTTCTCGTAAGGGTGCGTGGGATTCTGTATATGGATTTAATTCTTCTTAAAGCTCGCATATTTTCATTTCCATCCTTGTTCTCAAAGCATGATATTGGTTGAATTGCTTAAAACCCATGCCTATTTAGAAATAAGTTTTTATTTTGATTTTCTGCTTATGTTCTTATTGTTTTTGTTGAAGCGCTTATAGTCATACCATCTTTCTCTTTCTTTAAAATTCTTCAATTTTCTCTAAACGATATCAATGACTCTTATTCTTGTAGGCTTATCTCAGTGCAATTATCGTCTATCTTTATTTACACGATTTCAAGCAAGCTCAGAAATGCTATGATGATTGCACACAGTGAGTAACAAGCAATTAATTTAAATCTTTTTTGAGATTTATCCCGTTTTCTTTGTATGCAATTTGAAACTAAATCACTTGGCCAAACTCATCAAGAGCTTATAATGTTATTTTGGCTCGTCTACGTTTAAGTCATTGATTTAGGCTACGTTTGGGACAGCTTTTTTTACTGTTTTTTGAAGCAGCTTTCTAATAAAAAAAATTAATTTTTATACTATTCCCCTCTCTCCATGCTGCCGGCCCCCATTAATGGGCTCTCCTAATGTTTTTCCTATTGGGACCTCAATCATATTTGAAATTTGAAATCAATTTCAAATTGATTCCCTCCAAAACTACTCAAAATCTGAAATCAATTTCAGATTTGTAGTAATTCACTTTCTCCTACTTTTAACCTAAGCTTCTTCCCCAAACCACCCGCCACTCTCTCTTCTCCACTTTGGCCGCCCCCTCCTTGCTCCCTCCCTTGGGAATTTTGAAGCCAAAAGACGAAGACGATGTCCTTTCATCTCCTTTCAATGTCGAATGGCCGATCTCGAGGTTGATCACAGGTTTGCTTACAACGATCGTGGGGAGATTGACATTCTTCTCTCACCTTTCTACGACCCCGATTGGGAATACGATGAGACGGAGGAAAGATACGTCTAGCGCATCCTCTATTGCTTGGCACATACGATCGATCTTCAAAAGCCTAAGACGCATTGGCTTCTCGTTGGGAGATCTACACCTTCCCCGTCCGCGGCTACCTTTCCACCACCGTCGACCTTTCCGTGGATCAAGACCATTGGCGTTGCGATCGTCCTCGTGGCATCGTTGGGTGTGCTGAAGACCTTTCTCCGCTAAGCCATACTTTGAGTGTGAGTGAGCATGGTAACTCATAGTGAACTTTCTAAATATTAACTGTGGGATTGTATTACAACATATTTGTTTTTCTGTGATAATTTCAGATCTATCTTAACTTGCCTTAAACTTTTGATTTGTAACTGCTTACTACAATAAGATCGACGATTGAAAATTCTCTAATCTAATCTTACGAAACCTTAATCTTAAGTAGCAAGCTTTGTAATCCTTTAAACCATTTTCGTGCAATTCTTGTTTGTTTCGCATCATGTTAATTCGACAAAGGTAAGCTTAATACCCTTGACACTTGCTTAAGGGTCGAAAATCCCAAGGATAGCTAAAAATGGCAACGACATTGTGGGCTCGAAAATTCGTGCCCGGCCTCTCTGCGACCCTATTCTTTTTTGTGTGTCGACGAGGTGAGCTTTAACGAGTTTAGGTTTCGAGGTAAATTTTCAGAAGGAACATTGTGTTTTAGATTAAGACATTACCCAAAGATTTCACCCTCATTTTGCGAGGACTTTATGATCTGAGTTCCTATAGGCGCAAACCCTTATAGTTAATTACCCCTCTTGATAACTAGAGAGAACTTTCAGTTAAGGCTAGTCATCAAATAGATACATTGTATTAAGCATATAATAGTAGCAAAATTTGATATTTAAAAATCGAAGTTTATCGCCGCGCACTTAAAGCGGATTGGGGGGGGGGGGATGATGATGAACCCGATCAAGATCCCATGGTTCTGTCGTCTTGGGTCATCATGGTCCCTAGCCTACTTAGTTAGAGGAGGTATTCGACCCAACATGACCAAAGGATTCTTGTCGTCAGTCATTGGTTGCTTCGTCCAAGGGTACTTTGTAGACTTGGGGTGAATATTTGCCTAAGGGGACAGACTTTGGCCCACCTTAGATAACATAGGGCTTTGTGTCATATCGGTTATATCCTATTGATTCATTACTCAATGATTTAAAACCGTCATGGAACATACGGGCTCTGACCATGACCATAATTAGACCATAATTTATGGGTACCATTTGACGACAAAATCACACAGTTAGAGGATCCCGGTCATAACCGTTTACTTGTGGTGTCATTTGGTGGCGAAACCACAAATTAGAGGACACGTGCCATATCCTTACTGGCAAGCGATGATTAAAGAATGAATCCTAGTGATATTTTCTAATAGACATTTGTTCTTTGTGAGCTAAAGTGATTTTAAAACTTATTTACTTTGGCAAACTGTTGCGCAAGGTGGATCGGTATTTTGCTTTAAGTGTTAGATGATTAATTTCTGTTTTTGAATATATGTAGAGTTTTGAAGTTTTTGATGGAATTTAAAGGTTAACCTCTCCGGTTGATATTTTGCATTCAACACGACTATCATCGGGGTGACTTTATTGTCACTTTAAATATTTATATTTCATGGGAATTTGGGATTATTCCATTCATATTTTTGGTGGGATTATTCCACTAATTTTTTTTACTATAAAGTTCCCTGCAATGGCGCATGGATATATTCTGTTAAATTTTTTAACAATAATAACCACTGAATTCCAATATTTACCATCAATATGTTGTGATGTTTCTATACTCTTACATGCGTTTCCATTTAGTGGAACTAAGAGTCCTGCACACGACACGTGGAGATGAAATATGGAGATATAGAACATTTAAGGCAAAAAGTTTTCATTAAATTTAATGGAAAACATTAATCGGATGTTAAAAGGACCTGCTTTTTACCCACTACTGACATATGTGATTTGATGATAAGAATTTACAGGCACAGGGCCTTGCTACGAATTGTACAACTTTAGGTAACTAGATTTAACTTACCCATAAGATAATTTATGAACAAAATAGCAATAATCTTTATGCAACTAGAAAAAAAAGCGCATATGCAATAATGCGGAAGACTTGGCTAATACATATGCATTTCCTGCTTGCAGTAAATTGAAGTGTGGCATAACATTTCTTTTATTAGAAAAAAATTCCAATTTAAAGTAAATTTTAAAATTTCAATATTATGATGCTTATTCATTAAAGCGTATGAATTTATTGAGTTCCTATTCAGAACCAGTGATCTAAACATCAGATGCTGTACATCAGGTTAAGTATTTTTCCTTGCTAGAACAATCTGGTGTGGTAAGGATTTTTCTTTGCTAGCCTTTTTCTGGTAAGGGCTCGTGGAATTCTGTATATGGATTTAATTCTTCTTAAAGCCCGCATATTTTCATTTCCATCCTTGTTCTCAAAGCATGATATTGGTTGAATTGCTTAAATCCCATGCCTATTTAGAAATATGTTCTTATTGTTTTTGTTGAAGTGCTTATAGCCATACCATCTCTCTCTTTCTTTAAAATTCCTCAATTTTCTCTAAATGATCTAAATGATATCAATGACTCTTATTCTTGTAGGCTTATCTCAGTGCAATTATCGTCTATCTTTATTTACACGATTTCAAGCAAGCTCAGAAATGCTATGATGATTGCACACAGTGAGTAACAAGCAATTAATTTAAATCTTTTTTGTGATTGATCCCGTTTTCTTTGTATGCAATTTGAAACTATAAATCACTTGGCCAAACTCATCAAGAGCTTATAGATGTTATTTTGGCTCGTCTACGTTTAAGTCATTGATTTAGGCTACATTTGGGACGGCTTTTTTTACTATTTCTTGAAGCAGCTTTCTAATAAAAAAAATTAATTTTTATACTAAAAAACTGTTTAAAGAAGTAATAAAAAATTTGTCCCAAACGAAGCTTTAGCAAATAGAAGTGGCAGTTGGATTTTTAGTTTAGGGCTAGTTTGTTTTGTTTAGCTTTGTTTGTCGATATAAAACATGATGGTTTTTTTTTTTTTATCATTATACGCTTTTCAGAATTTAAAAACAAACTAATTTCTATCTACATTGAGCTAAACCAGTGAATCTAAATAGACACATCAATTTTCAAAAAAGAATTTAAAATTTGAAGCATAAATTGGGCTTTACTTGTGCAGGGTTTCAGCTTTCCTTAGTAGTGATCAGAGCCGCTGCGCAAGCAAGCTGCTTTCTGCTTATAGAGAAGGTGATGTTGAAGAGATCAAACGTATAGCTCAATCAAGCATCATTTCTCATCTTGATCATGCGGTAATTATTCTCTGTAATTTTAATCAAATTCTTTCTGTTTTGTTTATCATTTTAAAATTTATTTTTGAATGAAGTTTTGGCGAAACAAATGAAAGATTTTCTCCAAGGCCATTTCTAATGAATTTCAACTGTTTCAGCAAAATGAATAATTTTTGTTCCAGATAATCTGTTGTCTGTTTTTCTTCAATTTCGAGAGTTAATATGACCATAGTTTGCACTGTGGTTGTAAATTTTTTTTATGTTTTATGAGGCTTTAACATCATAGAGATAATGAGTTTTGCTTTGAAAGCCAGATCATTAGGCTTGCCAGAAAACTGCCGACAGGTGATCTGAAAGGGATAGAAATAGACGATGCTGATGAGCAAGAAGCTTTGGATGAGGATAATTTAGTTTAAAGAGAATTATATTATGATGAACAAAATGTAAAATCTGATTTTTTTTTTCTGAACCTGTTGATTATTGCAAATATATTTCAATGCTGCTATTGCGGTTGCCCTTTGCCCGCCGGGTTGTAATCAGTGGCGGAGCCCAACTTCAACCTTGCTTTCACATATATACTTGTATATATAGTTGCTGAGCAAGATTGAAAAGATTAATAACTGCTTAAAATCACGGTTTGATGTATGTTAGATAGCAGTAAAACGTAAATCTGTTGTTAACTTTTTGGTTGATTTCTAATTGGTTAAGTACATATCTAAGCCTTGAAAATTTTCTTTCGATTCAATGAATACACTTCTGAATTTGTTTATTTATTGTTAGATTTACATACATGACACAAAGTTCTCCTAATTTATGTAACATTAAATATTTAAGTTATATAAAAAATATCATGAATATGAATTTATTTAAAATGAAACATATTTTTGCATGCATAACTATCACTCTATCAGTCTATTTATTTATTTTTTTAAATTGAGAAAATTTGTTAATTGCTGATTTGAAATGGAAATTGGATAACGGACCATTTGATTCTTTATAAATAGAAAACAAGTTTTAATTTTATTCATTTATTTTGGTTGTAAGATTGAAATGTTTATTTTTGAGAAGATTTGTAAAGAGAGCTAGAAATAAATGTTGATTGCACATTATATTTAACAAAATGACATCTTTAGTCTTTACGCAACCAAAAAAGTTATATTTTTGCAGCAATTTATAATAGCGGTTTTACAATCATCGTTATAGATAGATATAAATAGTGATTTTAATCTCTGCTAAATTTATCATGAATAAATTGAAATTTTTAGGATGTTTGCAGTAGCGTTCACAAATTGTTGGCTAAGGTCCGCCCATAAATCTATCTTATTATTGATCTCTTTCTTTCGTGCCCTAGCGACTTTTGCCAGATTTGGATCGAAGCCGCGAGCGCTCTAATCAAACTTGAAACCCTAGCACCTCATGTACCAAAAACAATCTCCTTAAGCAAAAATGAATCGGTAGCCTTTGAAATGCATAATCTGATTTATTGTCTCCAAAATTTTGTGTTACCGTTATGAACTTGTAATTCATTTGTCTTGCCATTTTCTCTAAATTATGCACTCTCTCAATCCCTTGCATATGCAAGGCACGAAGTAGTGTTAGGGCATCTCCAACGGAGAACTCCATTTTTCACGGCAAAAAAATAGCAAAACTCCAAAATGCCGTGGTGCTGCTCCAATTGAACGCCATTTTATGTGCTTTTGCGAATGTAACAATACTTCTACTTTCGCGTGTTTTTCCGGTTGAGAGAGCAAAATAGCGTAGGTGAATAGTGCAACGCCAATATTGGGGTTGCACTGTTCATCCGTAATTAAATGGCGGAAAATTTGACGTTCGTCTGGAGCGACCGAACGACGCTTTACGCTCGTTTCGCGTTCGGTTGGAGATGCTCTTAATTGGCTAAGCTATACCTTATTTAAGACCCCTAAGCTTTGTGTAAAGTCATGATTTATTTAGGATAATTTTTTCACTATCTTATTTTTCAGATAATAATCATATTTTTATTTAGATTATTTTCTTATTATTTTTTTGTTACATTATTTAAATTTTTTTATTATATTTCAGAAATTTTTATGATGGAAAGTTAAGTTTTGCAAGCAAACTTATTAATTTGTGGATTTCTTAAAAATAATTATTTTTTTTAAATCATAATATTTACATTAACTTTAAAAAAATATTTTCCTCATAAAAGCTTCATAATTATATTTTAACGATGCTGCAGCTCTCCAAAGAAACCCTCAGTTTGATATTACTCCATTATCTGATGGATGTACAAGCAAATTAAACAACAAGATCATAGAAGTATTTATTTATGCATTATGTTAGAGCATGAGCACAATTATATGTCGATCAGTGAGTATGATGAACCATTTTCAGAAAAATAAAATGATGAGGCTGAGCAATTATGCTTTTCTTTTGAGGATATGTAATAGAAGATTGTGAAATGTAAAATATTGTTGGGTCAACATCAATAAGATTGTGAAATGTATAATTTTATGTATGAAATATTTTTCTTAAAATTCGGGCAATTATGATTAATCGAGGTGAGTAAAATAGTTAAAATATTTATTATTATAAGAAAAAAAAAAGATTTTAGTGTGGACAATTGCCTACGTTGAGTTCCTCCTGGTTCCACCCTTGTGTATAATTTAGTATTGATTTATGCAGCTCATCTGTATTTGTTGGTTGTGAGTAGGGGTGTCAACATTTGACACGACCCGAAAACTCGAATCCGACACAAAAATTAGGACTCGAACTCGAAACGAGTCGATTCGGTTGACCTAGCAACCCTGAAAATAACATGTTTTGACCTAGAATCTTGTAGTTCAGCGTATTTATTGGATTTCGCCATGCTTCACAGCGAGCAAACTTCGTTGCTTTCGATCAAAATGTTGTAACTTCCGATTCGATCGGAAGGGAACGTCATCCGTGGAGTAAAGTCGAATAGCAACGATGAGAAAGAGATGATAAAAAGCAAACCCTAGATGCTTCTAACTGACTCGTGCAATCTCCACACCTCATGCGGAACGAAGCTGAATATAAATGATGAAAGGGAGAAAGTTACCTTCAAAGCGAGCGAGCTCTTGTCGTTTCTTCCAATCAAAATGTTGTAACTTCCGATAACATCGTCGAAAGAGCGAAGTCAAACTAACAAGGAGCCGATGAAGCGACTTGTGCAATCTCCACACCTCTTGCAGAACGAAGTTGAACAACAATGACGAAAGAGAGAAAGTTACCTTCACAGCGAGCGAGCTTCCGTCGTTGCTTCCGATCAAAATGTTGTAACTTCTAATAATGTGATCTAAGGAGCGAAGTTGAACTACAACGAAGGAGCCGAAGAGGCAACTCGTGCAATCTCTACACCTCATGCAGAACGAAAGCCGAACAACAACGAAGAATAAGAGAAGATAAAAAGTGGGTCGAGTTCGGGTCGGGTCAAACAATCCAGGGTCAGTTCTGAGTTGGACCCGAATCCGACCCGTGACCTGATTTTGACATCCCTAATTGTGAGCTTTGTCCAACAATCAAGATGTATTGAGTTCGAAGCTTACATATGTGATGTGAGTGTGAATTTGACTTAATTAACTCAAAAGTTAAAAAAAATTATTGGTTTACATTAGTGGATCCACACCAATGAATACAAATTAAACTGCATATCCAATCCCCAACAACACTAATCAAAATCCCCACATCCATATACTAAGGGAATAATATCAAACCAATATGTTTAATGGTCATTATTGAACATTTTGTTTGAGAGGGAATGTAGATAGGATATTTATATCACGACTAATAATGTTTATAGAGATTGATTATTGATTTAGATCAGCTTAATTTTAAGAGAATATTTTTATTTGTGATCAGCCATACGACGATAGTACGTTATTATACATACCTAAATCCTATAATAAAAGTTAGGCCGTTAGAGTAACAACAATTCTTTAAAGGAAGAGTAAAATCCATATGAAGAAAAATAATTACTTGGAATGCAATTACTACAAACTAATTCACAACAGAGAGATCCCAAATTTGTATAAATATGAACGTAATGCATAACAATCAAAAAAGAAAAATTAAGAAAGCAACACACGATTGAATGATGAGAAGCAAGCAAACATGACAACTTCAAAGTTTAAATGGCAGTAATTAACACGCAGAACACACACATCAACGATGGTGGGGCTCTTCCGGCTGCTGGTGCGGTATCTCCGGAACCTCCGGCTTGGGCAATTCATGGGGTATCTCCGGCAACGGCGGCAACTCTGGCTTGGGGAGCTCATGAGGGATCTCTGGCAAAGGTGGCAACTCTGGCTTGGGGAGCTCATGAGGGATCTCTGGCAAAGGTGGCAACTCTGGCTTGGGGAGCTCATGAGGGATTTCCGGTAAGTGCGGCAGTTCTGGCTTGGGCAAGTCATGTGGAATCTCTGGCAATGGAGGCAACTCCGGTTTGGGTAACTCATGAGGAATCTCCGGCAATGGAGGCAACTCCGGTTTGGGTAGCTCGTGCGGAATCTCTGGCAATGGAGGCAACTCCGGTTTGGGTAGCTCGTGAGGAATTTCCGGCAACGGAGGCAATTCTGGCTTTGGGAATTCAGGTAAAGGAGGCAATTCTAATTTTGGCAGCGATGGCTGCTCTTCCTTCGGAGTACTTTCTTCTAACAGAACTCGAGCGGCATTGCAAGCAGAGTGGCCTAAGAACATGAGCGTAAGAAAAAGAGAGCAGATGATCATCAAAGATTTAGAGACCATTTTGAGAGAAGATTGGAGAGCCTGGATATGGTGGAAGGAGAAGGCCAATGCATGTGGTATTTATAGAGGAATTAGCGAGAGCTAGCTGAAACTACTTGATTTGCCGACTTTGTATGAAGCTTATCTTTCTCTAATTAGTGTTAATAAATTATGAGTTAGTTTAGTTGGTGGCTTTCTTCTAATCAGTTTATTTGTGTTTGGTTTGACGCTCAGCGAAGCTTAATTAGTAGGTAGTGAGAGAGAGAGAGAGAGAGAGGTGCTGTTATGCATGCTAACTTTGAAGGTGTGTTAGCTCACCTTCCTATCAATATTCATATCAGAAAAACTTCCTATCAATATTGATACCAGAAAAAGGCTTGGAAGTGGATAAACAAATGCGCCTATCTTGGAATTTGCAGGGAGGTAAGATGCGCGTAGTTGTTGATACGTAATCATAAAATTAGCTTGATCGGGCACGAATCTCGAGGCAA